TTTCCCTGAAATCTCTTTTTTTTTTCCCTTTTTTTGTGTTTCTCTCTCTCTCAAACTCCAGGCTGCCAGCTCTCCCAGCCCAGCCGACCTGCCCAGCCCGTGGAACTCCAGCTGCTCTCCTGCCCAGCTCTCTCCCCTCACCCCGCTGACCCCCAGCCCACCCTACAGCTGCCCCATGGAGGAGTGGCCCTGCCACCCCCCGTGCCCCCTGCCCAGCCCTGCCTGCTGCTGCACAGCCTGTGGCTCCCCGGGCAGGGACAGCAGGGGCCCGCAGAGCTTCCCCTGCCCCAGCACGGACTGCACCGAGTTCCTGCCACCCCTGGCCGAGGACTTCTTCAGGAGGGACAGGAGCTGTGACATTTGCTACAGCTAATGGGGACTGTGGTTTCACACATCCACTCTGTCCAAATCTGATTAAATTGCCCGTGAACTATGCAAAGTTGTGCTGCCTAACACAGCCCAGTTTATTCTTCACTACTTACACATTTTTTACACAATGCTGTCACTACATTGATCTACGGTCAGGGGTGTTTTGTTGTTGGTGTGGTGGTTTGGTGGGGGTTTTTTCCCTGTTTTTTTTCATTGTTGCTCTTTTTTAAAAATAAATCTGAAGCTGCCTTATCAAACACTTGTCATTAAACCAGCTCTTTTTGATACAAATAAATCATTTGGTGCAAATGTTGATGCCTGGTCATTTTTCATGTGCTAAAATGTGGTTTTCTCCTCTGCTCTGATCCAGGCTGCTGACCCTGCTCTCACAGGGGTGAGGATGAGATTTTCAGCAGCCTATTCAGTGACGTGAAATCTCTCACTCACCCTTTCCAGCAGATAAAAGGTCCATGTTGAATCCAGCATCCAACTTTCCCCAGACAACACTGTGCATCCCCCAGCTCTGAGCTGGAGCTGCAGCTCCTCACCCTCTGCTGCAGCTCAGGCTGCCCTGGTGACATTTCCCAGTGGTTCTGCCAGAAAAGGAAAGCATTTCTTGTGGTGTTTGCCACACCAGGGTTTAGCCCATGGCCCCTCAGAGGTCAAATCCAGAGCCAAACTTCTCTGGCTGCTGCTGAGCACCAGTGGAGGCAGAGTCTCAGTGAGAGGCTGATGTTGTTTGGTCAGGTTTGGGCTGTTGATAAAAGGTTTTCAGCATAATCAGCTGAACAGGAGCTAAATGATTTAATTTTTTAAAGAGTAGATAATAGGGAAATTGTAATACCTGAGGGTTTCCTGCTTCTTGCCTAAACCCAGACCTTTCTAACATTTTGTCTTGCCTCCTCTTGGTGAGGCAAACTCAGCTTCTCAGCTGAGCACCCAGACTGGGAAGAAAGCAAGAAGCATCTCTTCATATTAAATTCCACAAAAAAGAGAAAATAACTACACCTGTGAAGAGAAATATGAATTCTATCCAGATGTTTGCTCATCTCATCCTGAACTGAAAACCTTTCCAGCTCCTTTACTTTATGTAAGGGGTTTTTTTCCTAAAACATGCTTAAAAATATTTTGACACCTTCAAATAATATCTCCTCTTCTCTCCTGATTAATCTCAGCATAGGCCCAAGTGATAAATTCATGAGGTCACAACAAAAGGTACATATCATTATATAAATTATAAAGAGCTGTAACTTTGCAGCAGTTAAAGGCGTGATCACCCCTGTGCAGGGACACCCCACCAAGTGTCATTTTAGCAGTGCTGGCAGCTGCTTCAGCCCCTGAGTGATATTTTGGGGCACTGAAGGGCTGAAATTCTGCCCCAGAGCTCACCCAGTGCCAGCTACTCCTGCCTGCTGCCTCAGAACCCCTTATCAGCAACAAGAAAAAGCCAGGAGATAAGGCTGAGGCAAGAAACTGGAGGCTTCTAGAGGAAACGGGGTGCCCACATCCTCCCCATGACTTGGCAAGGTTGGCCTGAGCTTAGCAGAGCCAGGGAGATGCTCTCAGGGAGTAAAAAGGCACCATGAAATGATAAATAAGGGTTTCAAACACTCAGGAACACATCTCACAGCAGTAGCCTAAGCAAGGAGGGCAAGTGGCAGAGTCTGACAAGGTCTCTCTGACCTTTAGCTGTGTTATTCTGACAGGTTATTGGCAGTTTGCACACTTATCAATATCCTGTAGTGTGGATCCTCCCCGGGACTGCCCCGTGCAAGGGCTGTGGTTGTGCCCATCCCACTGCTGGGCACAGCCACGTAGCAATGTCAGCACTAAAACCACCCTAAATCCCATCCTATTCCTTGGATCATGCCTGATCCAGGCCAAAAAAAACCACAAAATACCCTCCTCAGCAGAGGAGACAAAATATTTCCAGCAAAATGTTCCTGCACAGCAAAATCTCCAGGTTGTGTCAGCTTCCATCGCACCAGCAGCACCTTTCCATCCCCTGCAGCTTCTCCCTCTTTCCCTGCTGCTCCTTCTCCAGTGGTTTTGCAATCCCCCCAGTGCCAGACTGGAAATATGTTTGAGATGCTGTCCCCACCTCCCTGTCAACAGCCCCAGGGACACACTCAGGACAAGTAGAAGCTTGCTGGCTGTTGACACAAGGCCTTGTTGACACAAGAAAGGGAAAAAAACACAACAGAGGAGCCATTCAAAGGTTGATTGTGTGTTTTCTGGCTGTGGGAAATGTATTCTTTCCCTCCTTTAGCCCTCCCAAAAGTAAAAAGGAGTTAAAGGAAATACCTAAAGCAGAGGTGGCTCTGTTGCAAGGCTGGCATTTCATCAGTGCCTGCCAGGTGAAGCCCTGGCTGCCTTTAGAAACACAAACCCGAGGATCATCTCGTGCTTACAAAGCCATGAATAACTCCAGAAGTCACCCCCAGTTCCAGAGAAAAGGTTCTTATTTTCAGCTTCTCTAGCAGAGAATTTGATCTAAAAGTTTCACTTGCCAGCCGACTGACAGCTTTCCTCTGGTGCCACTTCAGAACGTTTGTTCGGTGATAACGAGCCTTTGTTATTAACAACTTATCAAAAGCCACGGGTAGGAAGAGATAAACTGTGCAAATAAAGGGATATCACACACTGCCAGCAAGGCTGAGCTTTGAGAAGTTACATTTCCCCAGAAAGAGCAATAAAAAATTGAGGGGTGAACTGTGAACTGCTTCAATCAGTGAAATTCACCCTGCCAGAGAAGACACTCAGGTTTGAGATTTAAAAGTGATTTTCTTCACAGCCAGGCCAGGAACTGGGAAAGGGAAAATTGTTGTACACACAGGGGGAAGCAGCAGCTCCCAACATTCTGGTGGCTCCAGCCCAAAGCCAACAGGAGCAGCCTGTGGATGGTGGATGCTTTCAGGGCAGGCCTCTGGGGCTGAGCTTTGGGAAACTGAGCACAGAGAGAAGAAATCCTGGGGCTGTCGTGGGCTCTTCCCACTGCAAACCTCACCCAGCAGCTCTCAGCAGCACCAGCTGCCAGGGTGATGCTTTAATGGAGCCACATCCCACCCCTAAGAGGATATTTCCCCTGATATTCTGGAGATGGGGATGATTCCAGACTCCCATTGGCACTGCTTTGTGTGAAACACCCAAGAGACGACAGAATAAAGAGAAAAGCCACTGGAGGAAAGAAATCTCCTGTATTTTTTTTAACTTGCTGCCAAAGGACTTCATTTACCTTACAGATATTTCTAGGTGGCAAAAAGCTTTTTACAGTTTCACGTGCCATGTGCTGCCCACAGTTTGACAGTTTTGCTGCTGCAGGTTCCAGAAATGGATATTTTATCCATCATTTTGCCTTGATACACCATACTAAATCCCTGATACACTTCTCACTCCTTTCAGGGCTCATTGTAACATCCTTCCAAGTGACACAGCACAGGCTTTTGCTGGCCTGTGCTCAGATACATGAAAATTTATGCAAACACATGCAAATACATGTCTGCTTCTCTGTCAGCAGGATTGTAGGTACATGTACTGAGAGGCAATGGCCCAAGAGCAGAGAGGAGGGCTGGAAAATCGAGATCTCTGCATTTCTGAAGAGCTTTTGTTGGTGTCAGTTGTTCAAACACTCCAGGAGTGCCTCAGGAAATCCCACCGAGGCAGCCAGTGGTGCTCAAGGAAGTGGCTGCAGTGATTTAAGAGCTCTGCCCTTCACCTCTCTGCTCATCCTGCTGGAGAACAGCACCTGTGCACGCCGAGAAAGCAGCAAAATGCAAAAGCAGAGCTCAGAGTGAGCCCCAGCACCGAAACACGGCCTGGCAGAGTCACTGATTGCACAGCAATTCACAAACATTTCACAGAAACGCCACAAAGATCCCACCAGACCCCTCCCAGGTGGGGATGGGAGCAGGAGAGCACCCCCCACCCCCTGAGCACACCCCCACAGCCCTTCCCTGCCCCAAGAGCTCTTGGAGACCTTAGGGATTCTCTGTCTCCCACACAGGTGAGGTGAGCTCCCACCTGGGGGGCTTCCAGAGCTGTTCTGTGCCACCAGAGCTGGAGACTGGGATGGGATTGATGGGATGGGACTGGATCCATGGAATGGGGTGGGATTGATGGGATGGGATTGGATCCATGGAATGGGGTGGGATTGATGGGATGGGATTGGATCCATGGAATGAGGTGGGATTGATGGGATTGATGGGATTGGATCCATGGAATGGGGTGGGGTTGATGGGATTGATGGGATTGGATCCATGGAATGGGGTGGGGTTGATGGGATTGGATCCATGGAATGGGGTTGGATGGGATCGATGGGATGGGATGGGATCCATGGAATGGGGTGGGATTGATGGGATTGATGGGATTGGATCCATGGAATGGGGTTGGATGGGATTGATGGGATGGGATGGGATGGGATGGGATCCATGGAATGGGCTTGGATGGGCTTGGATGGGATGGGATGGGATCCATGGAATGGGATTGATGGGATTGATGGGATTGGATCCATGGAATGGGGTTGGATGGGATGGGATGGGATTGATGGGATGGGATTGGATGGGATTGCATTGCATGGGATTGGATTGGATTGGGTTGGACTGGATTGGTTGGATTGGGTTACATTGCATTGCATTGCATTGCATGGGATTGGACTGCATTGGATTGGAAGTCTCCCCTCAGGATCACACAAACCTGCCCCATGCCCTTGCTCTCACAGCAGCTGTTTCTTTCCCTGGGCTGACCATGGGGAGCTGCTCCAGAGCCCTCCCAAAGTGCTGAGAATGGGAATTCAGCTTGCAGGACCCTCCTGTGGGGCTCCTGGCTTTGGATGTCCATCCCCCCGGGTGAAATCCATCCAGGCTTGACCCAAGTTCTCCATCTAGGCTTTTTCCCCCTCAGGATCCTGCATTCCCAGGGAGCAGGGTCAGTGGAACTGCACACCACAGAGGCTGCAGCATTTCCAGCACTCCCTGTGTGCAGGCCCAGCCAGAGGCACAGTTTGGGGGTGTCTCAGAGCAGCATTTCTCAACCTTTTACAGCCAAACTGTCACCCTGTGCTCTGTCAGCCCCAAGGGTTTCAAAGCTTGGCTGTGCTTCGAACTGATTTGGAATATTTACTTATTTATGTAGCAGCTACTCGATTTGCTCACCTCCTTGCTGGAGGTTTATTCACGTTCTCTGTTACCAAAATTGAGTTTTCAACCATTTGAAAGCTCATCTTCTGCTGTCTGACGTGCTGCTCGTGGCCACAGGTTGAGAAACTCTCCCACCCCACCCTGGTGGAAGCCTGCAGGAGCAGGGATGTGCTGCAAACCACCCTCACAGTTCTTATAGGAGGCAGAAGCTGGAGTAGTTGAAGCTGCTCCATAAATTGCAGATAACTCAGGATCTGGCATTTCTGTGGCAGGAGTTGAATGCAGGTGTGATTTTCCCTTTCTTCAGCAAATGCCTGACCTGCCAAAAAATGTGGAATTTCAGGAAGCACCATCTGAGCCACCCCAAAACACTCACACACACACACATGAGTATTTACGTGTACATGTGCAACTAAATAAACATCCAAATACACCAGGAATATTTTTATACCTGCAAGCATGAAACCCAGCCACCCCTGGAGCGTGCAGGTGTGTTAGGGGAGAGCAACAGTGGGGATCCCTTACCTGATCCCCAGCTTTTCCAGGAGGGGCCATGTGGATTGGCTGGTCATTGTCCAAATTTCGGATGCTGGGGTCTGCCCCGTGCTCCAGGAGCAGCTGGATGATTTCCTTCTGGTTCTTGCTACCAGGCAAAGCAGCTGCCATGTGCAGGGCTGTGTTGCCATGGGCCTAAAGCAGGGAGAAGGGGAAAAAATGGAGTAAAAAAATCCAGATAAACCCCCTGGTGAGCTCTGCCATCTCTCCAGAATCATCCTCGAAATGGAGGTGTGACATGAGAGAAGAATCCTCATGGGATTTGTCATCAGGAGGTGAGGGAGGATCTCTGCTCTGTTTCTCCCAGGCAGGAGGTTTGTGGATTCAGATTTTTTTTTCTTTGCTAGAGGATCACAAACTGGGGGGCTTAGATGCTTTGGGTGAAGGTGATAAATAGCCCTGAGGCAGGAACATTCCCTGGTTGAGATTCCCCCTAAATCATAGCCTGGCTGCTCTGAAATTCCCCTTAAAACTGCTCTGGAATCACTCCCTAAATCACAGCCTCGTGTATGATTGTACTGAAATCTCCCCTAAAACTGCTCTGAAATTACTCCCTAAATCATAGCCTCGTGTATTATTGTACTGAAATCCCCCCTAAATCTGCTCTGAAATCACTCCCTAAATCAAAGCCTTATGTATGATTGTACTGATGAAATCCCACCTAAAAACTGCTCTGAAATCACTCCCTAAATCACATCCTCATGGAAACAGAGGCTGGGGAATTACTGAAAAAAGAGAAGAGTGCAACAAGCATGGAAATATTTCACTGGGAAACATTAAATTACAGCAATATAATATGTAAAATTGGATTTTAGACACCAAACACATCACGCTGCTGCCCACCACACAAAGCCCCACACCACCAGTCCCATTTGTGCTGCACACATCCCCACTTTTCCCACACTTCCAAGTGCCAGGAAGATTCAAATTCCCAAATTCAGGCATGGATGGGCTCCAGTGAGAGGATTTGCACAGGAAGCACAGAGCTGGCTGTGAAGCCAGCCATGGATGGAAGGTGCTGCAGAAGCTCTGGTGCCACCAGACCGTGTAGAAATCTGTGCCCTGTCTGGTCAGGTATGACTGGTAACGGTTGTAAATGAGAAAAAGCTGATAAACAAAAGCACAAGGTGAGGTATTTTTAGTCTGCAAGAGTCTCATTGAGGCAGCTGCTTGTTTTTTCTTTTTTTTTCCCTCTCAGAAACAATCATGGGTTTGTCATGGCATTGGAATGGTTGGACACAAACTGCAGCCTGTGTTAATATTCCAGTTGTTCAAATGTGAGGTGAAAAATGTGATTTTCAGGTCCTGTTAACCACTGAGACATCAGGGAGAACTGAAGCAGAAAATAAAATTGCAGAATTTTAACAGTTTTTCTCAGACAAGGCATGTTTTACAAGCTCTGAACAAGCAGATCCTTGTCAAGTTTATTATCCCACAAAGTCAAGGGATGGTTACAAGCTCTTTACAGGATTTCTTGTTAAAATGGAAAGTTCTGCACTTGAGAGCTTCCCAATCCAGGCATGGGCTAAGATAATGAGGCAATCTGACAAGGCCTGACCTTGGAGCCTCAGGCTGACTTTAATAGGTCTCATTTGAGACAAAGTGGGCTCCAGGAATCCTCCAGATGAAAAACACCTCCAAGGCTTCAATATTTTTCTCATTGTGAAAATGCCACGGAAACAGATTTGGAGTGAGACAAGCACAAGCAGTGGGGAAACCTAAACACGGCTGTTTCCTTGGCTTCTTCACACTTTGAAGAGCTAAAAAATCCAGGATTTCTCATTTCTCCCTGCCCCAGACAGCCCAGCAACAAGACTGAAGACTCTGAGTGATCCTATCACAGGAGGAAGCTCCCCCAGGACTGTGATGAAGAGACAACAGAGACTCCCAAGGACAGGCTCTCACCTGCCTGAAGGGTCTTCAAAGATACGGATGGAATGCAGTGAAAAGCCCTTCACTGGACAGAAAAACACCAGCTCGGCGCCACTACCCACAAACACAACCCAAAATAGGTTTTCTCCAGTCCAGCAGAAATCTGGAGGGGTACAAGAAGTGAAGCTGCCCTTTGTCTGCCTCAGTGAGCAATGGAGCTGACAGAAAAATTCAGTTCCTTCCTGAGGGACACAAACTCTGGGGAGCACAAGCAAGGCTGGGACTGCTGAGATGAAACCAGGGACCCCCAGGCTTGTCCCCTTCCTCAAAAGAGAAGGACGGAGCAGCCAGGATCACCCCCTCAGCCCTGCTGAGAGGGGCAGCCTGTCCCAAAGCTCTGCTGGGCAGTGGTGGCTCAGCTCCCAGGAATGTCAGGATTTTTGTCTGGGTGGAGCTGCTGCCTGTGAGAGATGGTCAGTGCAGGGGATCTGCTCCCAGGTGAGCTGTGGGGCAGCACTGGGGAGGTTTCCAGCTTGCTTTACCCAACCTAGGCATGGCTGTGCCAGAAAATCTGCAAATAATGTTCAAGGCAGAAAGAATCCCCATGTCCCTTGATGTCAGAATCTGAGCTATTGATGATTCCAAAATTGCAAAAAGTCTCTGTCTGTCAGCCCCATTGCCAAAGCAGAAGCCATAATTGGTCTGTGCTGGTTTCAAGGTTGTTTATTCTGTTTATCTCTAACATGTTCTGCTGCCCTGCCGCAGCTCTGTCCTGCAGGGCAGCGTGTGGGGCTCTGCCCTCAGTGGGATGGTACAAACATTAAATACCACAAACTACCTGTGCTGGATTTACAATAACGTGCCAATATCTGTCACCTACGTTGGACAGTGTGTCCCCAGCCTAAACCAACAGAAAAATGCCAACACCACAGTGAAACATGGAGGGCATGAAGAAGGAGAAAAAGGACAAGACACACCCAATTCCTCCATCTTGTCCCCTTTGGACCCCTCATCTAGAATCCTAAAATTTTACTTTTGCACCCGTGCCACACTTAATTATTATTCATATCAAACACTCAGAGCTGGTAATTGATCCTGTAAGATTGAAAACTCTTTTCCATGGACAGAGATCACAGCCAGTGTCTCTGGGGGCTCTGTCCAGGGGGGTTCCTGACCCCTGCCAGGGTCCCAGGGCAGCCAGAGGGAAGCCCTGGATTGCCAGACTTTGAGAAACAGGGGCTGGGTCCTTCCCGTGGTGCCACATCTGCCAGCAGAGATGGATCGATGGCTGCCCTGCAGTGCCACCTCCCAGTTCATGCTGCTGTCAAACCCTGCAGCACTGCAGGGCTGTTTGCTCAATCCTCAGCCTCATCTAAAGTTCATGCTCCTCCTCAAGCAACCACTTCCCATGTTCTCCCTCCTCCCTGCTTATCTCCTGCTCATTCTCTCATCTCCTGCTGGGAGAGGGCCCCGCTTTTCATGACAGACTTCAAGCCAGGTGCTGTTTTCTTGTGAGTTTGTTTACTGGAAAATGTAGTTTGGGGTTGAACAGAAGTTCAGATTAGCAACGTTTGCCCTTTCCCTCTGTTTAAAAAACCCTGTTGCTGACAAAAATTACCTTGTTGTTGACAAAATCCTTGGACTTGAAAGCGTTCAGCTCCAGGAAGTACCTGAGCAGGGAGACGTTCCCATCCTGGACTGTGTAGTGAAGAACTGTCTTGTTGCTTTTCACATCCTATTTAAAAAACAGCAAAAAAGAATATTAAAAAACCCAATCTAAATAGGAATTGTTCTGCAGGACAAGCTGGAGATATCCCACAAACCCATCAGAGGAAACCCAGGCCAGCTCTGCAGCTGATGGGGAGCATCTCCCTCCCTCCAGTGACCCTCCGAGTGTCCCTTGTCTGCTTCAGGAGCTCCAAAAGGCAGCACCTAACCCAGAAGGAGAACAGGCTTGGCCCTTGTGCCAGCAGCTCATTCCTTCTCCAATCCTGTGTTTTGAGCACCAAAAGGGGGAGAATTCCCAGCCAAACCAGGGATGACCAGCCCATCCTCACCCGGCTGTAGATGGAGGCTCCGGTCTGCACCAGGAGATGGATGCAGGATTCCAGCTCCCTGCTCTGCTGCTGCAGCTCCCTGTGCTGCTCCTCGCTCAGTGCCTGCCTGCCCTGCTCCCTCAGCAGGCTGTTGTGGGCCAGCACAGCACAGTGGAGAGGGGTATGGCCTGGAAAAACATGGGATGGAGGCGAGGACAGCGCCAGGAAAATAGTGATGCGCAGAGAGAAGGCAGGGCTGGCACAGAGAGCATTCATAAAATAATTTATCCAATAATTGGTTCAATCATTCAGTCATTTTTCCAATAATTCATTCAGTCATTTTTCCAATAATTCATCCAACCATTCATCCAACCATTCATCCAACCATTTATTCAGTCTGTGCAGGAGTTGTTGAGGCACAAGCTTTTCTCAGGTTTCTTCTCTGGCTCTACGGACACTTTTTGGGGCACTCCAGAATGTTTTTAGTTCCAATTGAATCCCCCCTGAGCCATCAGCACCTTTGAATTTTGTGGCATTTGACTGCACAGACACAACTCTCTCCCCCCCAGGCATTTTCTCAGCCTGCTTTTGGCCTCCCAGCACACCCCGAAAACCCAGCAAGCAGTGAAATATCCAATACAGGTTTTCACACCACTTGTACAAAGGCTTTTACCTTCAAAATCCTTCATTTCCAGATCCAGAGGGAAACCCAGTGCCAGGATAACCTGGAGGCAGCAGAGAAATGCAGAATTTTAGTTCAGCAGAACACTGTGCAAGCCCAAATCAGCCCAAACTAACAAAATGTAAAATCAAACAACGAAGAAGTTTGCAGAAGGTTTGAAGTTAAATTATCAGAGAATGATAATTTAACTTCAAACCAATTATTTGACACTAGATTCCAGTGCTGTGAATGCTCCCAACAGGGACATTCAAGGTGATCACATTCCCTGGTTAAATAACTCCCACCTAATTATCCTTTCAGATTCTCAGTTCAGGGCAGTAAAACCCATCCTCTGCCCCCAGCTCAGGAGTGCCAGACTCCTCACTTCCACCCTGGATTAGGCAAAGCCACCAGTTAACACCAGGACATGTTTGTTCTGAGTGATCCTTGACAAGGAGAAATGAAAATCTCTCCTTGACAGGTGTAGCCCAAGTTTATGGCCTAAAAGTTTGCCAACACTGACAATTCTCTGGCTGGATTAATTTACTTTTTGTTTTCAGAGTGCAGCAGTGTGTGAAGTTAAAGCCTCAGCTTGTGGCAATGAGGCTACAGAAACACCAGGAACTGTGATCTGGAGATGAGAATCAAAACTTTAAAACTCTTTAATATAAGAAAATCATCGATTTAACACGATGGAGTTAAGCAGCTCCTTGTCTATATTATTACAGAGGATTTATATTTATTTCTTTTGGTTGAATAAAGCGAATTGTTCACATTAATGGCTGAGAATTTTTGCAGTGACTCATCCGTGTCAAGTCAGACAAGGCTCAGGGCAGGATCCTCCCACTGAAAGATCACCCAGAACGGTTAGGGCTTGACTTACCCTCTTCTAACAAAAACAAAATATGTACAGATCAAATATTGCCAGCTAGCTCCGAGGTGCTTATTAGAGATTAGATTGTTAATCCATTAGGGAAAAAAAAAAACACAATAAAATAAACAACAAACCATAAAGCCTTTCATGGCTCTGACCACATCGAAGAGCGAGTCTCTGCCTGTTGTCCCTTTTTGTGGCAAGGCAAAAAAAAAAAAATAACAACCAAAAAAACACCAACAAAAACCAAACACAAAAAATAAAAAAAAAAAGAAGGAAACCAACAAAAGAAAACCCAAACAAAGGAACCTTGCAATCCAAAGCACCACAAGGCACTCTGCGAGGCTTTGTTGGCATCACCTGGACGAAAAGCCTTTTTCCCACTTAAGGAAACACCTGTTTTCCAGAGAACTGGCTGTGTTACACATTAACTGCCCGCTCGGGGCACGTGTGGGCACAGCTAACGAATGCTGGACGTGGTGCCAGCACCCCCTGGCACCTCACCCCTGTCCCTGCCCTCAGGGAGCTCAGCAGAGCCACCAAACTCTGCTGTGCTCAGCCCCTGACATGGCTTAAGGCAGGTTTTTTATTAATTTCATTTTCTGGCCCATAATGAAGCATTTAAGACTCACAGGGGGCTAATCCCTGTTGTGGAATCCCTTCCCAAAATGCCCACAGGGGCTGTTGGAAGTGTGGATTTGCTGTTCAGGGCTGGCACAGAGCTCAGGTGCAGGTTCTGTCAGCAGAGAAATCCATGAAGGAACAAGGAAGCAAAGATTTGCTCATTTAAGTCAGGTTTTGAAGGAAAATATGAAAAATGTGCCTCATTTTGGAGGCTGTGCCTGGGCTGCCCGTGTCTGCAGGGTCACATCTCATCTCTCTTCTGCTGCCTTGAGTCTGGACACAATTTTTTGCCATGACAGTGACCTCATGAGGGGGTTTCACCCTGGTTTTAGAGCTCCCTCTGCTCACACCTCATGGCTGGGGAATGCCTTCCAGTGCTGAACCACACTGGGGACTGCCACCAGCACATTTAGAGCTGTAATCTGCTCTAAATTAAATCTTTGTGCAGATTACAGGCAGAGCTGTAATGTGCAGAAAGAATTTCTTTCCCCCCGCCGAGCCACTAAAGAATTATCGTCTGTAACAGCAGGCTGCAAGCACAGCCCTAAAAAAGGGATAAAACCCATCCTGGGAAATCAATCCCTGACACGAGGAGCCTTTGCTCAGCCTCCATCACTCACTGAGATCTTGCCTTTATTTAAAGACACCAACATCAACCCTTGATTGCATTTTTATACTGCCAGCATGTCGGAATCTGAGGTATTGATGATTCTGAGATTGTAGAAAGTCTCTGGTCTGTCAGCCCCACTGCCAAAGCAGAAGCCATAATTGGTCTGTGCTGTTTCAAGGTTGTTTATTCTGTTTATCTCTAACATGTTCTGCTGCCCTGCCGCAGCTCTGTCCTGCAGGGCAGCGTGTGGAGCTCTGCCCTCAGTGGGATGGTACAAACATTAAATACCACAAACTCCCTGTGCTGGATTTACAATAACGTGCCAATATCTGTCACCTACGTTGGACAGTGTGTCCCCAGCCTGAACCAACAGAAAAATGCCAACACCACAGTGAAACATGGAGGGCATGAAGAAGGAGAAAAAGGACAAGACACACCCAATTTCCTCCATCTTGTCCCCTTTGGACCCTCATCTAGAATCCTAAAATTTTACTTTTGCACCCGTGCCACGCTTAATTATTACTCTTATCAAACACTCAGAGCTTGTAATTGATCCTGTAAGATTGAAAACTCTTTTCCACGGACAGAGATCACAGCCAGTGTCTCTGGGGGCTCTGTCCAGGGGGGTTCCTGACCCCTGCCAGGGTCCCAGCCCTGCCAGGGCAGCCAGAGGGAAGCTCTGGATTCCCACAACTGAGATCTGACCTTTATTTAAAGACACCAATTGCATTTTTATACTGCCAGCAATGAAAACCATCCAGCTTGCCCTACCTGGAGGACTTGGCTGTAGCCATAAGTTGCAGCAAGGTGTAAAGCTGACTGCCCTTTATTGTCCACGGCGGTGACATCTGCTCCTGCCTGGATGAGGTCGTGGACGATGAACGCCTGCCTGGCAGTGACAGCCACCAGCAGGGGAGTCTGCAACAGCAGCAGAGAGCTGTGAGACCTCACAATAACACCTAAAACAGAGGCTGGACAAGATTAACACAATAAAAGTGGGTGTTTATTAAATACACCCTATTTATTTGGTACGATTTGGGCAGTCAAAAACCTCCCAGAGGTCATGAGATGACCTACACCCAAGATGGTCACAACTTTTTTAGACAATTATAGGTTTTGTCCGTTTACATATGTTATATATTGGGTTAATCCTCCAATTACAGCTTCAGGTAATGAATTAATTTACGCCCAGTTTGTTCCCCCTCCCCAGCTCACTTTTGTTTATATTTTTCAGGGCCTGAGACAGTGAGGTGTCCTTGAGTTCCAGGCCTACAGAGGAATCGTTTTGTCTGAATAAAATGGGAGAACAATAGCTGACAGGCTATGGAGCTTTAGAGTTACACACTGAAGAATTGCAGGATTATAAATATATGAAAAATATAAAAGCTAAAATCCTAAGGCGGCAGCAGCAGCGGGTGTAAAAGAAGAAGTGGGGAAAGTGCTGGCTTAAATCCCAAGGATTTCAGAATTTTGCTCATCTCAGACAGGTTTTGAAGGAAAATCTGAAAAATGTGCCTCATTTTGGAGGCTGTGAGCACAGCTCACAGGATGGTTTGGAATCCCACATGAGGTGGGGATTTCCAGCTCCTGCTGGACTCCCTCTGCTGTTCTTCAGCCCTTAATTTGATGGCAACCCACACCCAGCATTTTTTAAACCCCGATTGCATCAGGTACTGAACAAGTCTGCAAAACAAGCTGTAAACCCTTCATCCTCAGAGGCTGGATGCCAACACACAAATATTTTGCTGGACCAGTGTTTTCTCACATCACTCCATGAATCATGGGCCGACAAAAAGAACGGGCTCCTTCTCATCCTTCCTGATTTATGACCACGCCACTGAATTTTACAGCCATGCCACTGAATTTTACAACCGTGCCACTGAATTACAGTTTTACAATCCTGCCCACGAGTGAAGCCGGTCAGTGCCAAGCCTTCCTTGCAGGAGCAGAGGGGCAGAGCTGGATTTTTTTGGGGTTTCTTGCTGTCAGCCACGCCAAGCCTGTTCCCATCCCAACCCCTGGTGTCTGCAGGAGAACGTGGCTCGTTTTTACCTTTCCTCTGTGCTCCTTGGCATCGAGTCTCCTCAGGGCTCTCATGCGCTCTGCAGCTGCCAGCGTGTGGGCCCGCAGGCCTTTAGCTGCATAAATATGCAGAATTCTAAGACAGCAAATAAAGACACCCATCACTGATGGACCATGGACCATTTTACAGGCTAGCACTGCCACTTTTGGAGTTTTCCACCCAGGCTTCCACAAAACCATGCCACGAACCCCAAAAGTTCCCAAAACTCTGCCTGTGCTCAGCCCCTGACACGGCTCAAGGCAATTTTTTTTATTAATTTCATTTTCTGGCCCATAGTGAAGCATTTAAGACTCACAGAGGGCTAATCCCTGCTGTGGAATCCCTTCCCAAAATGCCCACAGGGCCTGTTGGAAAGTGTGGATTTGCTGTTCAGGGCTGGCACAGAGCTCAGGTGCAGGTTCTGTCTGCAGAGAAATCCATGAAGGAACAGGGAAGCAAAGATTTGCTCATTTAAGTCAGGTTTTGAAGGAAAATGTGAAAAATGTGCCTCATTTTGGTGACTGTGCCTGGGCTGCCCCTGTCTGCAGGGTCACATCTCATCTCTCTTCTGCTGCCTTGAGTCTGGACACAAATTTTTGCCATGACAGTGACCTCATGAGGGGGTTTCACTGGTTTTAGAGCTTTGTACCTCCAGGAGCTGCAGTGTCCAAGAGCCCTCAGCACTCCTGAGCTTTGCCTGCTGCCTCCTTCCCACTTCAGCACCTTCTTTGCAGCTGAGATTCACCTCTGGGAGGTGTCAAAGTCTCCCACCATTCCCAGTTTGGGGAATTTTATGTATAAATCGCTTTTTGGAGTGATACAGCCCTGGGTGTGTTGGTGAAACCTCACCAGCTGGGGTAACAAGCACTCCCTAATTGATAGATCTGTAATAGATCAAACTGTTAAACTCCCTAATTGATGGATTTGTAATAGATCAACCTGCTAAACTCCCTAATTGATGGATTTCTAATAGATAAATCTGTTAAATTCCCTAATTGATCTATCTGTAATAGATCAACCTGTTAAACTTCCTTATTGATCTATCTGTAATATATCGACCTGTTAAATTCCCTAATTGATGTATCTGTAAGAGATCAACCTATTAAACTCCCTAATTGATGGATCTGTCATAGATCAGCCTGTTAAACTCTAATTTCTATCAAAACTCCCAGTGAGAGGGACACACTCCTTATATTTTGCACAAGACAAAGAGTTGGCACAGCCCATGGGAGAGGCCCTTAGTGATGGGAAAAACATTTCTCTGCTTCACTTTGGCCATCTGGCTCTGGCTGGAGCCACTTCCATTCCCCCAGGTCCCACTTGAAGGAAATTCCAACCCCCTGGAGCAGGAGGAGCCCACCCCATGAACAATCCCACCAACCCCTGGCTTACTCTGCTCCAGACAGAAATATTTGATGCTTTTCAGGCAGAAGGTGGCAGGCAGTTGTTTCTCTCCTCGGGTAGTTTTGTACCCCTGAGCCACCCCTGGCAATCTCAGGAAGTGGAAATACAATTTTCTGGCTAAGCTGATTTTCAGCCAAGCTCAGCACGAGCTGTGGCTGCACACCCACACATCCCCAAGGGTGCCAGCAGAGGATCAGAGTGATTGAAGCTGAACTGCAGGAGCAAGGACTGCTGCAGGAAATGCCCCCAGGCCACAGCTGGATCAAGGAATTCCTTCTTAGTCTGTTTAATGTGTAAAATTAGCACAAAGTCTGACAGCTAATCTCTGATGCTAGCCTGTACATATATTATTAAACTAATTGATTGCTAAACCAACGCTCGTGGATAGGAAATAAAACACTCTAGGCATAACAAAGTTACTGTAGATCTTTATTGAAAAAAAAAAAAAAAAGAATTTGTCTTTTTTTCTAACCAGAACAACCCAGAAAGAAATGATGAAACAGTTTCATCTTTGTTTTATGTTCACACACAGAATTTACATACATTGGAGTGAAAGGAATTGAAAAGCAATCAGAGCAACCACGGGCTTGATTCACAACTGCTTTATCCCAGTCTTACCTAGGGAATATCTTTGAATTTCATAAAACTGGAGGAAGCAGTGGTGACTTAAGCTCCTTCGAATTAATTTCTTTGCTGGGTTTTTCTGCAAATATAAGCCACTAATTTCAATGCAAACCTCAACTACTGCTCTTTTCCAACAGCTTTGTGATCACTTACATGATCTATAGTGCTCACGTCTTCCACATTTGTCAATATTCAATAAAAACTACTCTTGGAAAGATTTTAAGACTTTCAACCTGGGTTTTCAAACCTCACTCAGGCATGAACTGTAAGGCCACTTGAAATATTGCCTGGGTGGCAACTGGACTCCAGGTAATAAAGAGTACTAGAAATCATTTTGCAGTTAGTCTTGCAAATATTAAAATCATCTAACAATCCTGGGCTTTAGAAAGCAGAAAAACCCAGAGAAATTTTGTTCACCAGCCAAGAGCCTCTTTTTTTGTCAAGAAAACAATAAACAGGGTTTGAAGGGGATGTATCTCCTGAAATATATTTGCCTGTGCATGGCATTCCTGAGCCTCAACCAAAATATTTACACTTGCATCAGAGGGAAAAGTGAAGCTCCTCATTCTCCAGGGAAGGAAATCAGAAAGCCATAAAGGACTCGTGTGCACCTCTGGGCCACGGGAGCTTTCCAAGGAGAGGTCACTAAAGCTCCCTGGCTCAGCACATCGCACTCAAAGGCTACAGAAAAGTGAAAATATTGCCAGGTAACAGTAATGCCATGGAGTCCTTGGCGGGCTGCACTCCAGGTTCTGGAAAATCCCTCAATGTTCTCCTGGTCTAGGGCCATGGATTGCAGTCCTGACTCACACCAAACTCCCAGAGATTTCAGTGGGACAGGATCTGTCCAACGGGTGCATTACCAGCCAGCCCTTAAATCAGCCCCACACCCCAAATCCGGATATTTCAGAGCCCCAAACCCCTCTGCAGCTAAAAGAACACGACCCCAACCCACTGCTCCACACCTGCAGACAAGGGGAGAGCTTCCAGGTACACCTGGGTGTGAATTCCTGCTCTGCAAACAGGGATCTCCGACTGCTCTGGCATTTCTCTCAGACTGCTGCACCCACCTGCACCAGCAGAACAAAGCTACACTTCATGTTTTCCTGATTTCCAAAGGAATAGTAAAGTTTAGGAGAGAAAAATGTCAATTTAGGCCCCCTCTCAACATTTTCTAGTGGCCTAAATCTGGTGAGAGTTCCTCTCTGGACAGGTCAAAGACACACAAACAAGGCATTTACACAAAAGCAACCCTATTGAACGGGGTTTGGCAATATTTAGAAACAATCCTACCCTCACCAAATGAATTTTGAGGCCATGAGGGTGAAAATCACCTGGTGCTGGTGCTGAGCACAAGTGTGCAGCATCCAGACCCGCCTGGGAGAGGCAGCAGGAGCTGGAACAGCAGAGGAATCTTGTGCTGGGCGCCAGAACGAAGCAAATTTCCCTCAACGCACAAACCACGGCGCGCTAAAATTCCCACCCCACCCTGCCTGCTTCTCCTCCCTACTCAAAACCCACAGAGCTGCTGAGGAGCAGGACCCAGATGTGCAACCTAAAGCCCTTCAACAGACAGAGCGTGGCTTAACACGTACGTATCATTGTCTTCATCTTCCAGCAGCAGCTTCTCGATGGGCAGGGCGCCGATGGCTCGCCGGGCATCCTCCAGCTCCTGCGGGGCTGGCTCGGGGATGGAGATGGGCACGGGCAGCAGCTGGGGCCCCGGGAAGGAGGAGGAGGCTGCAGGGTACTGCAGGCTGGAGGCTGGCAGGGCAGACAGGGGCTGTGCCCACGGGAAGTAGGTCAGGGGCGGCTGCTGCTCCGTCACCTCCAGCGGTGGCACCACGGCCGGGGCGCTGCTGCGGGGCTGGGGAAGGGGACAGAAATACAGCAAGATGAGACAATTGGTTTGCTGGGGCAGGGGGGGATGCAGCACAGGTTGGGGTGCTCATCCCACTTCTGACATCCCCCGTCCTTCCTCTCTGGGTGATGCTCTGCACTGAGGGTGATGCTTTTCCTCAGGCTCCCTCCAGCTTTCTGTCCCCACTCCCACCTGTGGATATTCTCAGTTCAGTCAGAGAGAAAAAGAGAGACATTCTGCCAGGCTGAGCCTGGGCAAGAGTTCGAAAGGAATGTAAACAATTATTATTGTCACTGTCAAGGCAGGACGGGAATGAGAAGACTCTGACTCCAAGGCTGCTGAGAGTAAAACTCCGATTTATTAAAAATACACCACTCTTTTATACAGAGCTTCACAAGGACCAAATCCATTGGTTCTGAAGTGAAAACAAACTACCCCACTGGTGCACAGTGCTTGACACACAGTGATAGACCTTAACTATAAACAATGTGAACAACAAGAGAGATAAATAATTATTTACATTCTCTCCCAGCTCTTTCTCAGGCATCTGCCTGGCTAGAAACTCTCAGTTTCTTTCTTTGACTGAATCTGAGTCCCACTTATTATCTCTCTCTGTTCATATTGTTTTCAGATATGTCCTGCTACATTGACCAAAGTGCAAGGCACCAATGGTGTGAGATGTTTTCACTCTGAGACCAACCACATTCACCTTAGCGATCCTGGTTATAAAAGAGGAACGCTGCTTGTTAATAAAGTTCAGTTCTCTCCTTGCCTTCTGACTTGGAGACTTTTCCATTCCCGTCCTGCCCCAACAGTGACACCCACGCTCCCTGTGACCCTGTCACACCCTCTGCACTTCCTCAGCTCCAGGGGCCACCAGGACACAGAAATGGCCTTGGGGGATTGGCTGGGTCTGCCTGAGCAGCCAAACTGCACCAGGGAAAGGAAAAGCAGCTCCTGAGGTCATTGGAACAGAGCTCTCTGTTCCCCTCTAAAGGGGACTGCATCATCTGGTGTCAGCCAAGCAGATTTGGTCTGGCCTGAAGCCAAATATTTTGCTACCTTTATATATTTTGACCTTGCTGTTTTATCCTTTAGCAGCCACTTCTGAGAAATTTATTGCCAAGTCATCCTTCCTGCCTCACCTGATCAATATTTCCTGGAACCCCACTGACTTTTTTTTTTTAATTTTAAACTTGGAAATAAGGTCCTGCTCAGAAATAATTCCTGCTCAGAATGGAAGAGTGAAGAGAGCTGGGGAAAAGGTTGTGAATTTTGCCTTATTCCAGCACAACCACAACTTTTTGCCCTGCTCAAACCATATTACCGTGCTGGGAACTACATGGCATGGATGCAAAGACACACAACATTACAGTAATTAAATAAATTAGCCTAACTACACCCCACAGCTCTTGCTAGAAGGAGGGAATCAACATCATTTCCAGCTGAGTGTTTTTGACTTACTGCAAAATTGGTGATGAGAGGCTGGGAAGTGTAAGTGAGGACGGAGGAGGGTCCCACCAGGGTGTAGCTGGGACCCACGGGCTGGACGTACATATCTGCAGTGTAGGGACAGCTGCCAGCCTCGTGGGACACGTAGTCAGGGTAAGGGCTCCACTGAGCCAGGGGCTGCAGCGGGCTGGGAGAGGGCTGGGGGATCCACCCAGAGGCCAGAGCTCCTTCCTCCGGGCCAGGCAGAGCAGGGGCAGCAGCGTCCATGTCGAGGCAAGGCTGGCCTGCAAAACAGGACAGGGTTAAAGCCCAGCTCAGCACAGCCTTCCCTGCAGAGCCCCGGAGAGGCAGGGATACGTTACCCATGGGTGAGTAGGAAGGGACTGGCTGATGGGGCAAAACAACCTGGAAGAGAGAAGAAAGAATAAAAATCAGAGGTGAAGCCCATCAGCATTAAATTTATTAATTCTGTAATAGATCAACCTGTTAAATTCCCTAATTGATGTATCTGCAAGAGATCAACCTATTAAACTCCCTAATTGATGGATCTGTCATAGATCAGCCTGTTAAACTCTAATTTCTATCAAAACTCCCAGTGAGAGGGACACACTCCTTATATCTTGCACAAGATTAAATTCTCTTAGAGAAGCACACACCTGTCACCCTGGCACCAAGAATGACACAAGAACAGAGGAGGACACAGCGTGAAAAGGAAGAAAAGAAAGTTTTAATGGAAAGGAAACTTTGGCTTAAATAGACCGACGCAACACATTCTATTTGATTGGTTAATTAATAAAAACATCTTCCTCACACACCGTCCTTGAGAGGAACAGAAAAGCAAGGTGGAAAAACACCACCTGCAGATTGTTTAGGCTAACAAGTGATTCCTACAGCTCCCTAAAAAATTCTCACAAGAATTGAGAAACGATTGCTCTTTCTCTCTGCCTGCCCAGGCTGCATCCCCACAGACCACACCAGGCATGAGCAGTGTCAGGCTCTGAATCCTCTCACCCCATAAAAAGGGCCAGAAGAAGTGAACCTGACATCCAGGACACCCCAAACACCCACCACGTCCCCTCAGCTCAAGGAGACCTTAAAGCGTGCTCAGATCTCGTGCAGCAGAGAGATTCTCCTGCAGAGAGGGGCCAGCCAAGGTGCTGCCTGCTGGGAGGGCAAATGCAGGATGAAAAGGAGCAGCAAGCAGCCAGGGATGGCTTGGGATGGTCTCTCAGAGCCCTGGACAAGCTGCCTCCCTCTCAAGGCACTTTGTGTCCCCAGCAGTCAGATCCTGCCAAGTGCAAAGCGCTTCCCCTTTCCATGAAGTGGTGGCATTAAACTAAAGGGATATTAATGGCATTGCCAGGTGACACCATGCTGCAGGGCCTTCAAAATGCTTTCGAGATGCAAAGGTTCCTTTCAGCAGCACTGAGAATTTCCCTCCTGTTTGTTTTTTCCTACCGTTGTAGCTGCAGTTGTGCTGGAGTTATGGACATTCCCCCTTTTCCTCTTCAGCAGCTCCTTCACGGGCTCCTTCACTCGGACGCCCTGGTAGGGGCGAGGCTGTGGCTGCTGGTCTGGGGCAGAAGCTGAGGGGGAAAAAAAAAGAGATTAAAAATTTATGTAACATTTATTTTCCTCTCAGGGACCCCAGATCCCCACAGCAGCCTGGGGGCTATACCAGAATACATTTATTTTCTTCTTCCTTTCCTGTGTGTCCCTCAGTGCCACTGACCTGCAGAGCAGCTTCCCAAAGGAAAATCAGACCAAATATACCCAAAAGGTGACACACCAGAATTGTTGGCCACTCAGGGACATAAAAAAGCAGAGATTATATATTTAAAAGAAATATATTCACTGTTTAGGCAAAAGGTATATAAACAACCCAAATCAGGAAAACATCCTCACTTGAAAAACTATTTAAACATCATTAACTTGACTTAAATATCTCATTTTGAGATCAGGCAGGTGCTGAAGTCCCAGCCTAGACCAGATTTGTATTTCAGTTCTGAACAAATTTTGCTCGTTGCCTGGCCAGGAGGTTGATAAACAGGAGACAACACATCACAGACCTCACACCCAAAAACCTCCCAGCTCCCACCCCTAAATTCTGCTCCACTTTGAAGAATGAAGTTTACAGCCAGCTCCAAAAGCCTCTCCCAAAGCCGTGTGAGCAGGGAAAGCAGGGGAAGCACATTTCTGCCAGAGCCAGAATTAACAACTCATATTTTACCTGGAGTGTTTGGAGGGAATCGATAGCAGAAGGAAACCAGGGGATATCAAAGGCTGCTGTTTGTAAAGCCACCGATAGCAGAGGTGGCTGCCTGCCCCTTCTACTGCACTTTGATGTGTAAATACAGAAATGGAGAAGTTTTCCATTTTTAAAGATTGGAACTGCCCTTTGGTTTTGAGGTACAGGTGGCTAGCCAGCTCCAATCTGAATTTTAAACTATTATTCCACCCTAGGAGCATTTATTTAGATTTGTGTCCCACAAGAACGAATCGTTTCACCTCAGATCATCTTGCCCAGCTGCATTTAATTCTGAGCACGCTGAGATGTTTCTGTTGCACCTTCCTGGGAGGAGAAAGATGGAGTTCTAAATGCAGAGATCATAAACCCACCACAAAAATTACTTAACAGAATTAATGTTTCTGCTCTAATTTCTTTTCAAAAATACTTTTTTTTCCCTTCAGCTTGGCTCTTCTATTAACTCATTATAGATAATTTAATTATGAAATCTTGATTGGCCACGAAAAATCCTTTTAGGACCAGACAGAACTCCATTAATGCACTGAACTGTTGCCTTTGTTATGCACATTAAGGAAATACTTTACTTTTAAACAGTAGTTGAAGCAAAGATGATTTTCCAGCTTTTGCCTGATCTACCTTTGCTTTCTGTGGACGTCCTTTTTGGCTCTTTAAATCAGTTTTTTTTGCATTCCCGTGAAACCTGTGGCTTTCAAAAGGAAACTTTAAAAGAGAATAAAAGTTCTTTAAGTCTCCATACAAGCATCCACAAGGGCTTTTAACACAATTCACGCTTTGCTTTTTCAATTTAATTGGTATTAATTTATTCGAGTGCAAATAATAAAGAGTTCTGGTGTTCTGGGTGCTGCGTGAAAACATCAACTCCACAAACCTGAGCTCTGCCAGAGCTGCTGGAGGGGCAGAAATGAACATTTTGGGGAGTAGCTCATCCCCAGCCCATCAAAGGGCCTCCCTGCAGAATTAGGGTGGGGAAGGATGCTGGTTTCTGGCTCCAGGTTTGGGGGATGGGAAAGAAGAAATTTACTGTAAAAGCTGACAAATATACCTATTCAGAGTTTCCGGTGTAAGTAAGCAGAGTAACCCAAAAAAAAAAAATAAAGAGAAAAAAAAAAGTTTTAAAAACCAAAGTCTGCAGATGATATTTCGGTTCCCCCAAGCTGACCTCCAGAAATAAAAATAATGTGAGCACAGCTGCTTTTCCACTGGTCAGGGGCCTGTGGGGTCTGAGCATCACAGACAGACCACAGCAAAATGACTTTGGGGCTTCAGGGTGCAATTCCTCACTGAGTTGAAGATACATGGCCATTTACAAATATCAGCATTTGGGGGAATAATGACAATTAAAATATCTTCGTAAATGAAGAACCTGGATTTAGTCATCCTTATATAAAGGTTTTAACAAACTGTGAACTGTCTTGGACCAATATTCCATTTTATTTTAATTTCAGTCATGAGAGCCCAGGTTCCATTCAATGTATAAAGGTTTTAACAAAGTGTGAAGCTGTCTTGGACCAATATTCCATTTTATTTTAGTCATGAGAAGCCAAGCACAATTTAATAAAATGGAACTAAAGGAAATAAAGGAACAGCAGCAGTGTCCTGGCATTTCTCCTGCGATTCCAGGACCACGGAACACCCACGTGCCGTGGGCACATTTTAGTTTGCAGCTGCTCTGTGAATCTGGGGCAGTTTGAGACATCTCCAGTTGAGGAAGAAGAGAGGGAATCCAAATCAAACCACTTTGGGTTTCCACATTTCACTTGGGCCCATTCCAATGCTCTGGCCAGGCTGCCGGGTGTGTGCTCAGCCCCAGGCTCCCTCCATCAATGTTATCGCCTGATGTATTTGCTAAAAGTCCACAAAAACCTTCAAAACTTGTGAGCAACCTTTAAAAGAGCTGCTGGAAAGGCACCAAACGGCTCAAAACATCAAGTGACAGCAGCAGGAGGATGCTGGATTCCAGACCACGCTGCAGCTCAGCCTGGAAGCATCAAAACTGCCCAAAAAGGGTTCCAGGGCATCTGCCACCCTCAATTTACGCAGACACACCCCCTGATTCTCAAGAATATCGATCTGAGTGAAAAACCAGGCAGGGAAAGCACGGGTTGGGGTTGTTCAGCCTGGAGAAGAGGAGGCTCAGAGGTGACCTCATGGCTCTCCACAACTCCTGAAGGGAGGTTTAGACAGGTGGGGTCGGTCTCTGCCCCCGGGCAGCACTGACAGAACAAGAGGACAAAGACTCAGCTACGTCAGGGAAGGTACAGGCTGGATATTAGGAAAAAATTTTTCACTGAAAGAATAATAAAATACTGGAATTGTCTTCCCAGGGAGGTGGTGGAATCACCATCTCTGGATATGTTTAAAAAAAGACTGGACTTGGCACTTGGTGCTGCAGTCTAATTGTGGTGTTGGGGCATGGGTTGGACTTGATGATCTCAGAGGCTCTTCCAACCTCATTATTCGGTGATTCTGGGATTCTGTCAAGCCACCACCAAAAATTCAGACTCTGTCCTCCCCTCCACTTTGGTTTAACCATGGGAGGGAAGAGAGTGGCGCAGCAGCTGCTGGAAGGGTGCGGGCAGCGAAGCGCAGCGAGTTCCAGATCAGTGAGCTTCACACACACACACACACACACACACACACCCTGAGCTGCAGCTCCCCTCCAGCCTTCCAGCCAAGGCACAGCAATTGCCCAGTGTGGGAGTCCAGAGCTTCCCTCTGGCTGCCCTGGGACCCTGGCAGGGGTCAGGAACCCCCCTGGACAGAGCCCCCAGAGACACTGGCTGTGATCTCTGCCCATGGAAAAGAGTTTTCAATCTTACAGGATCAATTACAAGCTCTGAGTGTTTGATATAAGTAATAATTAAGTGTGGCACGGGTGCAAAAGTAAAATTTTAGGATTCTAGATGAGGGGTCCAAAGGGGACAAGATGGAGGAAATTAGGTGTGCCTTGTCCTTTTTCTCCTTCTTCATGCCCTCCATGTTTCACTGTGGTGTTGGCATTTTTCTGTTGGTTCAGGCTGGGGACACACTGTCCAACGTAGGTGACAGATATTGGCACGTTATTGTAAATCCAGCACAGGTAGTTTGTGGTATTTAATGTTTGTACCATCCCACTGAGGGCAGAGCCCCACACGCTGCCCTGCAGGACAGAGCTGCGGCAGGGCAGCAGAACATGTTAGAGATAAACAGAATAAACAACCTTGAAACCAGCACAGACCAATTATGGCTTCTGCTTTGGCAGCGGGGCTGACAGACAGAGACTTTCTACAATCTCAGAATCATCAATACCTCAGATTCTGACACCCCAGCAGGCAGATTTCACTTTAAACACCTCCTGCTCTGCCCGAGCCCCGGCCTGCAGCAGAAGTGGCACACCGCTCCCTCTCACAGGAGATTTCTGTGCTCGCAGTGCTGACACAGGATAAAGTTATCAGCTGATCACTGATAACAAATGGTTTTCCCTTTTTTTTCCCTCCTTTCACCCTCCAGTGGAATAAATAATTGAAAAGAAACACAATCGTTTCTCTTGTTTGCAGTAACACCAAAAAGCAATTGCTGGCTGCAAATAACAAGAAAAATCGAGATTTCAATTAGCAAACCCCTGAGTTAATGGCTCGGATATTGGAGACAAATCACATTTTTATCAGACATAGTGAACTTAGGCTAATAAAAAGAAGAAAGAGGCTTCGTTTCATAAGCTTGTGTGCTTAGAGTCAAATCAAAACCTTTTTACATCCATGCCCATTACAAGGGACTCAAAATTGGTCATGATCCTGTCCTTATTTCCTGGCTAATTACAGATTTTCCCTGAAAAACAAAACAGGGTGAACTTTATCTCTGCTTTGTGGTCAGTCCAGGGCAGAGGAGCAAAGCACAGAAATGCATTTAATTGCCCAAAATCCCAGATAGTGACGTGACAGGGAGTCACTCAGAAATCTTCATTTCAACTCCATCCCCATCCCTCAGCAGCATTCAGGGCATGTCCTGCTTTTAATTAATATTTTAATTGACCCAACCAACAGTTAAAGGTGAAACATTGACACCACCCACCTGCAGCTCCAGCCCCTGAAACAAAAATCCATTTATTTCTGCCAAGATCCATCCAGTTGTGTTGGTGGCCAGAGGCTGGGGTGGCTGCTGAGCACCAGGTCCCTGGTACCTGAGCTAAATTAATTAACACCCACCTGACTGATAATTCTCTGGCTGGTTCTGAGAGTGAATAACCTCATCAGTGCCAAATAAATCATGGAACAACTCAGAAAATGTTTGTCTGAGTTCCATTTGGCCATTCTTGGTTCATTATCTTTTCACTCCCAAAAGATACACCCCAAAGCCCCAGGTTTGCACAGCCCCTGGAAGGGTTGGACATGCAGCTTCCTGTGCATTTGCACAACCCAAATTTCCCTTGAAGTTACAGAGAACACAAGGAAAATTGGGCTGGAGAGGATTCATACAATTCACGTTTTGCTTTTTGAATTTAATTTGTATTAATTTATCTGAGTGCAAATACTACAGAGTTCTGCTGTTCCGGGTGCTGCATGAAAACATCAACTCCACAAATCTGAGCTCTGCCAGAGCTGCTGGAGTGGCAGAAATGAACATTTTGGGGAGTAACTCATCCCCAACTCATCATTTATCCTGTTCAATGCACTGTGGGTGGGGAATTCAATAAAGATTTTTGCCAATGCAAAGCACCCACCAAATATCTGGGCAGAGAATCTGCTTTAAAACAAGCCCAGCTCAGGGCAGGGGCAGAAAGGGCTGAGGGGTGGTTGATTGCTCAGCACAAGGAAATGAACTCAGGAGGGTCCTGGGAGTAATGCAACAGCCTCAATAATTCACCTGCCACCAACACCTCCGAATCCTGTTTAGCCAGGTCTCTTACACTGCATTATAACCCCCAAATTCAGTGAAATATTCACCTCATGGAAGAATATTTAGATTTATGCCCAATATCTTCATGTTCAGGTGTTGGAAGATTTTCCAGGAATCCAACTAGCCTTGGATTCAGGTAAACCCATGGGGCCCATGCTGTTCTTGAGGAAAGCTTTTGATAGCTGTCCTTTAAAACACATTTCCTTCACACCTAAAAGGGTCTAAATGAGTGGAGAGCACTGTGCAGAGCCTACTTTGTTCCCACAAAAGGAAGGTAATCCAGATGGACAAATCCAGAGTGGATTTTAGATTTTTCCACCTGGATAGAAACCCAAATCAAGGGGAGACACAAAATGCTGGCTAATCTCTCCTGCTCTAATTATTCTAATTAAAAAACAAAAAACTTTCAAGTGCCAAGCGAGAGTTGGATGCTTTGGCCATGTAGTGGTGAGAGCCACTAAAAATTCTCTGTTTCAGAATAAGAGGAGCCCTGGTGCAAAGGGGAAGCTGAGATAGACAGAAAGTGTCTTTAACCTTAAGTCTCACCCTCAGCTCCTAATTCCTCCCAGCCCATAATACTCTTTCCATTTTAGTAATGCAAGCTTTCCATTTAATTGCTGCTGTGGTCATTTGTAGAGTTTGACACCTGCTTTGCAAAGCATGGATGGGCTCAACTTTCGTGCTATCCCTCTTTCCTGGTGGGGTTTTACCAAAATTATCACTCACAAGGTGCAGAATGTGGCAGTTTCACCTCTCAGTCTCATTAGCTGATACTTTCAGGGCGGCCCCACATCTGTTGTGGGCTGAAAAGCTTTTTTATTCGCTTTAAAAGCGTTTGGGAAGGGATTTGCAGAGGTGTGAATTCACATTTCTTGATGGTAAAGGGAATCTGAGCAGCTCAGTCTCTGCCAGCGACTGCAGCAGGAGCTGAGCACCCAAAAAACTTGGACACAGGCAAAACCAGCACCTGAGCAGGAGATTCCTGCAGAATTAGAATTAATTAGGCTGGAAAAGACCTTTGAGGTCATCAAGCTCAAGCAAGATGCAGAACACAAACCATCCACACCGCAGAGAATGGCCCGTGCAGGGATTGAACCCAAAATCTTGGTGTTGTCAGCACCAAACGAGTCAAATCTCAGGGTTTCAGTTTGGAAAGTTCCCAGGTCACCTGAGCTGCCTCTGCATCAATTTCTGCTCCAGAGCAAGGCCACGGGTGGGGACATTGTGGGGACAGGGGTGAAAGGGGAGCTCCCAGCTGGTCACACTGATGGGAAACAGAGGTGACACCAAACTGGGAACTCCAGCTCCCACTGAAAGCTGCGGGATCTGCCCCTGGATGCCTGCCCTGAGCTCGGGGCTCACCCAGGACACCCCTCCTGCCTGCCCTCGAAGCCAGCACCCATCAGATTCCCAACAGCTCCATGCTGGAAAAGGGAATGCTGACAAAACCTCAAAAGGAGGGAGATTCGAGGATTAACAAGCTCAGGCCTGGAGCTGTCTACAAATTCTGATCAGGAAGTGACTGACATAATTGGACTTGTAATTCCTGCAAGTGTCAAAGGAAAAAAGCAAAATAAAAACATCAGTTCAGTTCCCAGTTTCCTCCTACCCAAAGCATTGCTGTTGGCATTGCTTTGTCACTGCAGGAATTAAAAAAAAAACAACCCAAATAAACCATTCAGGGACTTCTGAGTTGGAAGATTAGAATCAGGATTTGGATGGAATCATCTTGCAGTTTTTTCCACGTCTTCTCCTGAAAATTGCTCAAGGTGAAGGGGGAAATACAAATAAAACTTCCCAAATACACATTTGAGCTTCCAAAATGTTCAGCTGAAAAGAAAGAAGGCAGGAAACAAAATAGAGGAAATGGATTTCAAAGCTCACAAAGGCACATGGTTGGTTTACTACACGCAGTAGAACAACCTACAAGCTGAGATAAAAAGATGAGTAATGTCAGATAAGTCACTGGCAAGGGTTTAAGAAATTAATTTTTCCACTCAGGTGTGTTGTACCATTCTATGTTAATGGAACAGCAGGGTGAGAGGCAAAGGGTGGCAGCACAGGTGCCAAAATGAGCATCCCCTACTGATGACAAGTGAGATATGATGGTGATAACAGTGAGAATTAAAACCTTGCAAGAAGCAAACACCTACCTGGAGCAGGATCAGTAAACTACTCCAGCAAAGGTGGGCCCAGAGGAGCGAAATTATCTTGAAAACAAGAAAACTGATTTCCTGTAAAGTCATAACTGTATTGCCCTCAACTGCTTTGTTCCTTATCTTTTTTAATTAGCTGAAAGAAGTACATATCAAAAAAAAAAAAAAAAAAAAAAAAAAGGAGCACAGAAATAAGATTTCTCACAGGTTTCACTTTTCAGAAGGAAAATTTTCTGCTACGTAACCACCGTAACCTTTGATATAATACCTGCATCCTGTTATTGTTTTTATGAATCATAGTCTTCCACTTGATTCATAGTGATGAAAGCCAACAAAGCAGCCCTGAGCTGATATCCCTGCTGGAAAATGAGCATCACACCTCAGCACTGGCCTCCCTCGAGCCATCCCTGAGCATCCCTCCCCTGCCACCCTCTGCTGCCTTATCCCTCCCAACCCTCAGCTGCCACCAGAGGTTGGAGAAGCAAAGCAGAGCTCACTCACATTTTTGCCAGTGCATTCTGTGCTGGGATGGAGCTTCTTCCCCCCTTCTTGGCTGAGGATAACTCGGCTCTGCGTGTCTGTGTGTGGCTCCTGGGTGGGGATGTGACAAGTGAGGGTCAGGATGTTTCTTTCAGCTTTTTAAAAGCGCCGTGTTCCCACTGAGCCCGGTGACATCATCACCCCTCCAACCACAGCCACTTGTGCGTTTTCCCTTTGCTCTCTGCTTCTTCTTCTCCTTCTTCTTCTTCTCCTTCCCCTTCCCCACGCTCAGCAGCTCCTCTGAAGAGATGTCCTGCATAAAAAAGGTGTCACCGAGATGGGTTTGAAACCTCAAAGGTGGAACCTGCCTCTCCTGGGATTTTCACCACAAATTTGTAAAATCAGGGCAAAAGGTTGGGCAGAAGCAAAGGGGTTTTAAGGAAAATTTTGACCTCTTGGGCAGCGAGGATGATTTTTCTCACGTTCTGCTGCTCTGGGTGGCACAATTCTTGTCTTCACATGGCCAAACCAGCCCCCAGGCCATGCCAGCCTGGCCCTTTAAATGTGCAACCCTTCTAAAACCCAGAATTTGAGTGCTTGCTCCTGCCTTATGAGAATCTCAACTCCCCGGGGCCACTAAATTTGAACTTGTGAGGAAACACCTGTAAACACTTCAAGCCCCATTAAGTCAGGGCGTCCTTAATTTAAAAAAGAAACCCCTTTTTTTCTGTTTTGTTTTTTATCAAAATACAACACTTCCTACCCAGGGAGAAGCAGCCCTTCCAGAAGAGCCTGCAAAGCTGGAGGAAGGCCATGGGAGCCTGGAGAACTTCTTGGCATTAATGACAGCACCATTCCATCCACACCATGAACACAACCCTCTTCCCTCTAAAAATCAGTCCCCTGGGATCAATTTTCACAATTCACACTGACTTAGGAGCTTCATTCCCAGGGAAATATCTGTTGGAGTTGCACAGTGAGGTCAGGATCTTGTCAGTCCCATGTTGCTGTTCAGTTTTTAATCATTGAGTTGCCCCAAAAATTTGCTCTCCCAAATGTCTCTTCCCATTAAAAAATCAAGGCAGGATCTGGTGGAGTTTTTTGGCCAGAATTCTGCTAAAGGAATTTTATGCTTTCAGGTGTTTCAGGCCCCTCTTGGGAACAGATCCATTCTGTGACTGCATTTAGTGGGGAAACACAGATTAATCAGATGAATATTTAATTGTACTCACTCTACTTCAAAGACTTGTCCAAAAACCAAAAAAAGAAGCAAACCCCAGAGCAAGTGGAGTGGAAAGAATGAAGGGATGTGCATGTCTGCCCTCCAAAGCAGCCCCGACCTCCTCTGTTCTCAGGCACGAGGGTATTGTTCAGCCACATTTTGCATATCTGAATTACTGCTGAGTACCAGCCCCACGCTGGGACATCCTCCCTGCTGCTGAAGTGCTTAGTAACAGCTGATACTGCAAAACCAGCCAGCCAGGCTGGGCTCCAGCTCCCCGTGGAGCCAGGAAAAGTTGGTTTCACCGGAATTTCAGCCACTCCAGAGCACAAAGGAACCGTGGGCTCTCCTATCTGTGAGATATCCATGTTGTGTTTCTCCCTAACCTAATGAAACTCCGTTTCAGAAACCTCCTGCATGTGTAGAATTAAGATAGTGCAGCAGCACAATCTCTTCCTGACAAATTCAAGTTGAAAACCAGAGTTCCCTGGCTTTGCTGGAAGCCTGGAGGACAGGGCAATGCCAGGGAACACTGGGGGAAGTTCTGGAGTTTGGCTGGAGGAAAAGCTGCATTTAGGGGGGTTTGAAGTGCTCTCTGCTGAAATTTTCCTGTGGAAAGCTCTGGATTCTGACAGCACAGAGCTACTGGGACAGAGCAAAGCCCAGGATGGAAACCTGACCACAGATGCAAGAATATCTTTGCATTTAGGGGGGTTTGAAGTGCTCTCTGCTGAAATTTTCCTGTGGAAAGCCCTGGATTCTCACAGCACAGAGCCACTGGGACAGAACAAAGCCCAGGATGGAAACCTGACCACAGATGCAAGAATATCTTTGTCACTTTTTGCTTTTCTTGTTCCCTAGTAGCAGTGCTGCATTAGGAGTTTTCAGTGAGACCTTTTGTGCTTCACTGTCTGGCTGGTTGGAGGGGTTGTGTGGGGAGAAGAATCTCATTGCCAATGTCTGTCAGTCCTGAGCTTTCTGCTCCTGGGATATTCTCTGCTAGGCAGCAGAATGAAATCACCCCTTAGTGGGGTCTGACCAAAGAGAATTGCTCATTCTCAGCTACATTTAATGCTTTTGCTATTTACCAGATCATTTTCTTTTCCTCCTAGCTGGCCAGAGCCTGAAATGAAGGGTTCAGGCAGGACTCTGGGCTGGTTTTTCACCCTGAGAACTCTCTCTGTGCACATTTGGGCTCTGCACAGGCTGAGCTTTGCACACAGCCGGGCTGGAGTGCAGCTGAAGGCAGATTGCTTCATAGCCCAAAGTAAATATACAGACTCATATTAAAAGAATCTATATGTGCTTATCATCCTGCCCTTAACTTTGCTTTAATTGAGCTTAGAAAAACTGTGGGTAACATGAAATAACTTAGGATTAAACCGGTTTTGAGGTCTTTACATCGATACTTTAAAAATACAAAGCCAGGCAGATAAAGTCTTATTGTAATAAACATCTAAAACGAGGAAGTTGCAGAAAAGGGGCATGTTTTCCTCAGATAAAACTGTTTTTGTGGCTGATAATAATCCATTTCCATATTTTACACATGGTTTCTAGATTAACTTTTGATGTGCTTAACAAAGAATCGCTCTCCAAAAAGTAACTTCAATTGTACATTAAGATATAAAGAGCCACATCACCTCACACCAAGCAAAGTAAAAATATTAATTTTTCCTCATTTAATGCATTTGATAAATGCAATTTAGATAGGGACCATTTATTTATGAGGTGCAAAGGAAGAGACAAAAGCAGAGAGAAAGATCAGAAACATCATATTGGCCTCTTCCTCTGAAAACTCTGTAATTCATGATTCGGGTTTATAAATGTGAGTGTGAATTATTATAAACTATCAGCTTTAGGTCTGTAAATAAGTCTGGAGCCTCAAAACTGTTGCAGACCATTCATCCTTCCCCTTTTTTCATGGCAAACCCTTTGTCCACCCCCCATCCCTCCTGCACTGCTGCTCCTCAGCCCAGCAGTGCAGGTGAAGGGTGAAGGGATGGAGATAAAGCAGATTTTTGGTGATCTTGCAGCTCAGCTCTCTGCAAAAAAGGGGTTTATCCTCTGAGCTGATGCTGCTCTTAAGGGGAACTAAAACCAAGAGCTGGCTCTGCTTGGTCTGGTCTGGCCCTGCAAGAATTTTGGGTGACAAACAGAAATATCCCAATGATTTTCTATCAATCTGACCCTGAGCTTTAATTCACTCCCTCAGCTCTCTGATGTTGTCTGACCAGCCCAGCTCCAGGGAATCAGAGATTTTCTCCCCAGAGTGGATTAATGTTGTTGACAGAAGTGTTGGGTTTTGTTGTTGTTGTGGGGTGTGGGGTTTATTTTCCTTTGTTTTTAAACAAGTCAATATTAGCATTTCAATCCTTATGAGAGGTAGGAATATATAAGGAGTAGTTTGATATTTCAGAAAGCTTTGTGGTCTGCAAACACAAACATTTACCTTGAGAACACAAAAATTAATAAGTGGATCTTTGGATGAGTTTAGAGGACGACCGTGCCTAGAAAAGGTTCTCACACTCCTTTCCTAATCAAGAGAGAGAATAGAGGAAATGGAAATCTGAGTCTCATTTAAGGCAACCAAATGGAAATGGAAATCTGAGTCTCATTTAAGGCAACCAAATCTGACATAAGACTGGGAAAGATTTGTTATTTCAGATCACAAATTCTACAATCTGTGCCTTGACTTTGTAGCTTGATACTGAAAGGGAAAATATTGCAGGAAACCACCCCGAAGCAGAGCTCAGAGAGGCTGGATGTGTTCCAGCCAGCTGATTTAGGAACATCACCCGTGTCCTGGTGAACTCCCTGGGCTCTGGGCCACCCCAATCCCACCCCTCAGCTCTCCTGGCAGGAGACTAAAGCAGTAAAGCAGCAAAGCTCCTCACTCTGGGATGGATGAGGGGATCAGACAGCAAAAAGGCTTTGCTCAAAGTCACAGAAAAAATCTGTACTAGGCCCAGGAGCAGAGGCCAAATTTTGGGGCCAGCCTTGTGAGCAAGGTCCTGCTGGTCCTGTGCTTCCCAAGAAGTGCATCACCCTTTTTTTTCAGTCCCATAATTAACATTGAAACGAGCGTGGTGCAACAAGCTGAGTTTTCTTGGGTTTTTTTCTTCTTCTTCTTTCGTTTTTTAATATTGATATCAGCCTCACACCTCCCACTGCGCCCTCTGAAACGAGTTCTGATTCATTCCTCAGCTTTGATAAGGAACAAATGATGCAGCCCTGGTGTGTGCTCAGCACTGGAGACGAAGTCCCTGGGCAGAATAAACCACCAGAGCCCTCGCAGCAGCCAGGACCTGATCCTGGCAGGTCCCAGGTCCCCTCCAGGGTTATTACTTGGATCTTTTCACACAATAAATTACCCTTTACATCAGGCACAAAGGAAATAATATGAATTTTTAAGTGGGAAACCCTTCAGAACCCTGCCTGAGTGAAGATATTTCTAAACATCCTCAAGAAAATTCTGAGTTCTGGAGTAAAGAGAAAATAAAAAATATCCAATTCAACCATATTTGTCTGCACTTAGAGAGGTGAGAATTTCCCATCAGCAAGTACTTGTGGGGTTTTTAACACACACCAAGTACTAGAAGAGATTTCCCCAGGATTTTTTATCCTTAGGAAATGATCTGGTCCATTCCTGATCTCCAAGATGTGACTGCTCCACCCTCTCCAAAAAACAGATGCAGAACCACCCCAGCACGTCTTATAGATTTAAGGAGATGGAAACATTTCAGAATATAGAAATATTTATGGCACTGTTTGGTGTGAATTCTGAAATTCCCTGAGAGGTGTTGGAACTCCAAATGTCCCTCAGACATTTTTGGAGTTCCAGGCCCAGGTCAGAAGCATTTGATACCCTAGCAAACAGCTGTGATTTTGAGTTTGAGCCATAAAATTATTTACCAACCTTGCAAGGAGTCACAAAAGTTTAAATATTATAGTAGAAGTAGTCACAGAGTAGAGGGAAGAATTTTTTAGTATTGTACAAGGGAGTTTTAACACCTGTACGGGGGGGTTTTATTCTATACATAAGAGTAAAAAAATTTAAAATAGAAAAATAGAAACCAATCCTATTCCTCCTCTTTCTTCTTCCTTACCTCCATGTTCTTAATGATGTTAGCACTTATAAATTAGTTTAAAATTAAAAGGCACCATATAATATAAATAACAAGTATTAAAAAAACGTATAAACATTTAACACATAATATACTATATAAAAACTAGTAACAACCCAGGGGTGGGGGGAGAAAAAAACAAAACAACAAACAGAGAAAGTGTCAAGAGTGTGTGGGCCTCTACCTAAGCTACTAACCAAACCACAGTAACCAAAAAAAAAAATCTTTTAAA